CAAACTTAAAATCGACGAACATTAACATTTATGTCGTGACCATTTAAAATATCAGACTTAATTCTCTTTTTAATACAAGAACTGGATGCATTTAAATATATCAAAAAATTATTGTTAATATGTGATGCTAAGTAGGAGAAAGACGACTGAAACTTTGCAGTTCTGTGAACAGGAATCTCGAGTCGTTGATCAACATGTCTTAAGTCTCTTATATTTATTTCATTTCTTTTAATCATTTTAACAAAAAGATATTCAGGAACATGAGTTTCTAGAATCTTTTTAATGAAATTTACGTAATGTAAGAAACGCTGTTCATTTAGCTTAAGTTCTTTTAAAAGCTTTATATATGGTGAAATATGTTGAAATCTCGGTACGTTAATAATAAATCTCACACAACTATTTTGAATTTTTTGTAGTTTGATTTTGTCATACTCCGACAGACACGGACCATAGACTTGAGTACAATAATTTAAGTTAGACAATACTATTGATTTAACTAAAATGAGTTTAGTGTCCTGATCTAAAGATTGTCTGAGAGGAGCAAGCTGCTTTAGTTTAAAATAACTTGAACGGCATAATGCAGAAACATGTTGTGAAAAATTCAGACATGAATCAAGGATTACACCTAAATTTTTAACAACACTTTCACAGGGAATTTGTTGTTCGTTAATGACTAAATTAAGATGAATGTTTGCCGTTAAAGTAGAGGAACCGAATATTATGTTTTTACATTTTTTAGTGTTTAAATAAAAAGAATTGCAAGCAGTCCATTGAAAAATTTCTGCCAAATCTTCATTAATCTTAAATTCTCTTCTCAATTGTGATGAATTTTTCATTCGTTGTCAGATCGAGAGACGGGGCTTAAGTACAAGATCCATATTCGTCTATTAGAATTTACCATTTTAAACATGTTTTGAGTTTCTTGTTCTGAAAAGACGACTACGTATATTAAGACAAAAGGCAACATATAAACCCCGCCCACCCACCCTGTCTCAATTGTGATGATTTTTGAATTGCAAAATTCTTATTATTTCTCTACAAGAAATTACTGTATAAGACATGTCGTGTTATTCAAAGAATACTATGTATATTAAGAAAACATTAAAGCCAAAGATTAAGCCCCACCCATACCTACCCCGATCTAAATAATAATGAAGTTTTCATTCGTGGGTAGACTTACTGGCGGAGCCTAATTGCGAAATCCATATTTACTTACAAAAATTTACCATTTTATACGTGTTTTAAGGTTCTAAGAATAAAAAAAAATCATCACAATTGAGATGAGGTGGGTGGGTGGGGCATATATTTTCCTTTTTTTTTGTTAATATACATAGTATTCTTTGAACAACAAAACATGTTTTTAATTCCTTGTACAGAAATAAGTATTTTGCAGTTAAGCTCCGCCCTCTTGGTTCACGGCGTATAAAACTATTATTACAATTGAGATAGGGTGGGTGGGCGGGCTTACATTTTGCCTTTTTGTTTTAATACGTGCAGACTTCTTTGAAACAAAACATATTTAAAATAGAAAATTTGTGTAGGGAAATATCGATTTTGCAGTTAGGCTTCGCCCCATAATTGCAAAATCCATATTCCCTTGCTAAAATGTACAACTTTAACCATGTTTTAAGTTTCTTGTTGTCAAAATAAGTCTAAACATATTAAGAAAAAAAAGGCAAAATGTAGCCCCGCCCACCCACCCTATCTCAATTGTGATGAATTTTTTATTCGTCGTGTGTCAAGTCGGCGGAGCTTAACTGCAAAATCCTTATTTCTCTTAGAGAAATTAAAAACATGTTTTTCACTATCCTGTTGTTCAAAGAATACTATGTATATTAAGAAAAAATTAAAGCCAAAGATTAGGTCCTCCCCATACCAGCCTGGATCTCAATTCTCAATTGTGATGATCGATCTGACAACGAGTGAAAACGAGGGGAGGGGATTAACTGCAAGATCCATATTTGTCCACAAGAATTTACCGTTTTAAACATGTTTTAGCTTTCTTGTTCTGAAAAGACGACTACGTATATTAAGAAAAAGGCAAAATATAAGCCCCGCCCACCCACCCTGTCTCAATTGTGGTGATTTTTGAGTTGCAAAATTCTTATTATTTCTCTACAAGAAATTACTGTATAAGACATGTTTTTGAGTATCGTGTTATTCAAGGAATACTATGTATATTACGAAAACATTAAAGCCAAAGATTAAGCCCCACCCATACCTACCCCGATCTAAATAGTAATGAAGTTTTCATTCGTTGGCAGACCTACAGGCGGAGGCTAATTGCGAAATCCATGTTTCCTTACAAAAATTTACCATTTTAAACATGTTTTAAGTTTCTTAGAAAAAAAATCATCACAATTGAGATAGGGTGGGTGGGCGGGGTTTATATTTCGGATTTTTGCTTTTTATACATAGTATTCTTTGAGCAGCCCGATACTCAAAAATTGTTTTTAATTTCTTGTACAGAAATAAGTATTTTGCAGTTGAGCTCCGCCCTCTAGGTTCACAGCGAATAAAAAAAAACATCACAATTGAGATAGGGCGGGTGGGCGGGCTAACATTTTGCCTTTTTGTTTTAATACATGCAGACTTCTTTTCAATACATGAAACTTAAAACATGTATAAAATGGAAAATTTGTATAAGGAAATATCGATTTTGCAATTAAGCTCCGCCTCATAATTAGAAAATCCATATTTCCTTGCAAAAATGTACCATTTTAACCATGTTTTAAGTTTCTTATTGTGAAAAGATGGCTATGTATATTAAGAAAAAAAAGGCAAAATATAAGCCCCGCCCGCCCGCCCTCTCTCAATTTTGATTATTTGTTTATTGGTCGTGAGCCGAGGGGGCGGAGCTTAATTGCAATATCTTTATTTCCCTACAAGAAATAAGAAAACATGTTTTTGAGTATCGTGTTGTCCAAAGAATTCTATGAACATTAAGAAAAAATTAGCCAAAAATTAAGCCCCACCTATATCTATCCCAAGCTCAATCGTGATGAATCAATTGGAAAATCCCTATTTCCTTCCAAAAATTTACCATTTTAAACTTTTTTTAAGTTTCTAAGAGTAAAAAAATTATGACAATTGAAATGGGGTTAATGGGCGTGCCTTAAATTTAGTCTTTTTTTCAAAAAATGTTTTTAATTTCTTATAAAGAAATAAGTATTTTGCAGTTAAACTCCGCCCTCATGGTTCACGGCGAATAAAAAAAATCATCACAATTGAGATAGGGCGGGTGGGCGGGCTTTATATTTTGCCTTTTTTCTTAATATACGTGGTCTTTTTTTCAGAACAAGAAAATTATTTATTTTCAGAAATATTTGTCAAAATATACGCAAAAATATAGGATCGCTATAGTATGTAGAAACGGATAAATATCTTGGAAACCAATTGTACCAATCAACTGAAATTAAGTATATAGGTACAAGAAATTCGGATGTAATTATTCGTCAAAAAAAAATTGTTTTGCTTCATTTGTTTCCGAGATGTCTGGCCAACTTATTTTTTTTTTAATGGCGTTACCATATAATTAATGCATTTTTGAATAGAGCTTTTTTTCTATGTATATTAAGAAAAAATTAAAGCCAAAAATTAAGCCCCACCCATACCTGTCCTGATCTAAATAGTTAAGAAGTTTTCATTCGTTGGCAGACCTAGGGGCGGACCCTAATTGCAAAATCCATATTTCCTTAGAAAAAGTTACCATTTTAATCCTTTTTAAGTTTCTAAGAATAAAAAAATCATGACAATTGAGATGGGGTGAGTGGGTGCCTGGGGTTTATATTTTCCTTTCTTTCTTAATATATATAGTATTCTTGGAGCAACACGATATTAAAAAACATGTTTTTAATAACCTGTACAGAACTAAGTATTTTGCAGTTAAGGTCCGCCCTCTTGGTTCACGGCGAATAAAAAAAAAATCATCAGAATTGAGATAGGGTGGGTGGGCGGGCTTACACTTTGTTTTTTTGTTTTGAAACATGCAGACTTCTTCTCACAACAATAAACTTAAAACATGTATAAAATGGAAAATTTTAACCATTTTAACCATGTTTTAAGTTTCTTGTTGTGAAAAGATGGCTATGTATATTAAGAAAAAAAAGAGGCAAAATATAAGCCCCGCCCATCCGCCCTGTCTCAATTCTGATGATTTTTTTATTCGTTGTGGGCGAAGGGGGCGGAGCTTGATTGCAAAATCTTATTTCTCTACAAAAAATAAAATACGTGTTTTTGAATATCGTGTTGCTCAAAGAATACTATGAATAGAAAGAAAAGCTCTATTCAAAAATGCATTTATATGGTAATGCCATTTAAAAAAATAAGTTAGCCTGATTTTTTTCATTTAATTTCTTGTATCTGTGTACCTAATTTCAGTAGATTTGTACAATTGGTTCTCAAGATATTGAACCGTTTCCATATATTATAGCGACCTTGTATATGTGCGCATATTTTGACAAATATTTCTGAAAATAAATCCTCGTTTTACTTTTCATAAGTGATCCGTGAACACATTCCGCCATTTTATTTCGTAACAAGAATCCCCTGTAATTTTTTTCACATTCGAACTATTAGCATAATTATCTAGTCACAAAGTAGGTACTCATAATTTATCATGTTTGCAACATAAAAATATTAAATATTGGTTTTGAAAGGTGCAGTTTATTTTATGTGGATGTGGGTAGATCACATCATTTACAACAGGACTGTAACTGCAATTTCTAGTTTTAAAATCTAAAAAAGACCTCTACAAGGAAAGTGAAGAGAGGACAACAATGCAAATGTAATTCTAAAATGTAAACCATATTACTGTCATGTTCTTGATTAATAGCATTCAAGGAATCGCCTCTGTTGGTCCAGTGTTATCTCATGCTCATAAATTGGTTTTAAAACCGTAAATACATATAAAGATTAGTTGGAAAATACCAATACAAGGAATTTCACGAGTGAAGCCGGTATAAATAAGTGTGAAATTTCTTATTTGGACATAGTTAGAATATTCTCCAGCTGTAGAAGTACGACAAGATGAACCCACATACATGTCATCATTGTCACCATCATCCAGTGCCAGAAGGTAAGTAGCAAATCGCCAACGATGTCGGTAGCCCAAATGTCGTACTATTTATAGGTTACTACTGGCGAGATTACACCGGCGAAATACCTAACGATGCATTCCCGGGTGGACATGATTCAAACGGTCAACCCACCTATATTGGTCAAGCCTATTTACCAAATGGGGGCGTAGTACCGTCGAATATTTACCGTGGTCAAGCCGGTATGCACTTACCCTCTAATTGGAAAGCGAATTACTCTGATCTTGCCATGAAAGTACTTTGTACTTCAAGCCCCAGTTCTCTTTCTTGGGTAAACGCCACTGCTTCGGATATACATTTGGTTACAGCTGGAAAACAACTAGTCATTGGGGGTTACCATCCTGGTGCTAAGGGTACAAAAAAGCTGCTGAACGTTGGACGAGCGCTGCACCAAGGAGAATTAAGCGTGGGAAAATTGCTGGCATATGACGGAGGACCCGACAAATTGCACTTTATTGGTGGTGGCACAGAGATTTCTGTGGCTTCGTATCAAGCTTTAGTGCTGAATTCCCCAAGTGGATGTTGTTAGTTACTAGTACATTATTTTTTTCATATATATGTAACAGGTGTACAATAAAAATATATTTGGAGCAGGCTTTGAAGTTTTTATTTGCCATTTATGTATAACCTAAATGCAGTCGGGTTGACAGATAGGGTAAATGTGTACAAGAGTACGCACTTAGTGTAAAACTGTCAATAACTTTTTAATTTTTTTGGATAGACAGATTTTATGATATGGGTTCGTTATATACATGTTTAGAGATCAGATATATTTAATTGTACGTCTCAAGACGACTATATTTTAAGAGTAATTTCAATTTTTGTCAAGATGTGTAAATGCGCACTCTTAAACAGTTCATTGCACAAGAGTGCGCATTTGACCGCTTATGAGTGCGCATTACATTTTATAAAAAAATATTTGTTTCTAAGGTAAATAAATGGGAATAAGTGACTACAGACTACACATAAAACGGGAGACCTATTTCTTCGTACTCTAGGGGCCTTGAAAAGTCGAGAAAACGTAAAAATAGAGAGTCGGTCGACGGACTCGATTACAACACGCTCAGGAAGTAAAAATAAAAAAAAAATCACCATAACCACCACCACACAACTTGAGAAGCAGTACAAAGTAGTATAGTTAAATAATTCATTATCGTATGATATGTATCTCCAAGACTATTAGACTACGTATTGCAAGCAATGCGCACTCTTATACAATACCTCGCTGCGCACTCTTGTACATTTGTACATAACCTAATGTTTTCAAAGTTAAAAGCTTTTGATGGATAGAAAGTATAAAAGTGTTAGTGCATAACGAGACCTTAAAAGTTACAACTAATGAAAATTATTACTGTAAAATAAAAGAACTGGTACGTACCTTACAAAAAACTAAAACTATGAGCGGTAAAAATTACATCCACACAACGTGTGAACATAAAATCGTCAGTACGACCAAACTATAAATTCAGGTCACTTTTGCACCTTTATCTCAGGTTTAGCATTAAATTCTGAATGGTATAATTTCATCTTACCCAGATGGCACTAAAAAGCAGAAATCATGAGTGCGTACTCTTATACATATTCGCACTCTTGTACACATTTACCCTAACTGACATATGACTTGACAACATCATTTTTTGTCATTTCATCTTTTGCTTTCTTTACGTCTCACATCTACATATACGTGAATTATATCCAACTGATTTTGGTCAAAGAGTTCAATACTGTCAATGGTTTCTAAATACTCTACATCCAGATCACCATCTTGAAAAAAACGTTTTTCAGTGATGAAGTGAACTTTCATTTGAGTGCCCACAAAGCATTTAGTTTACGGTGACTTTCAGCAGAATGGTACCACGGCTCATACAACTACCTGCTCCAAATATATTTTTTATTGTATAGCCGTTATTCTTGTAATTTTTGTTGGTAATAGTATTCGAAGAATTTCTCGTCGGAGGATATATTTTATCGCCTGACTGCCCGAATTAGCTTAATGTTACTTTACGCTGATAAATTATTTTTAAAACGCGGCATCGGTAAATCGCAAATACAAAGATAAGCTGGAAAGCAACAATCAGAATGGAATTTCACAAGTAAAGTCGCTATAAATACGAGCAAAGTTTATTTTTTAACACAATAATTTCACAAGCTCTAGAAGTGCGGCAAGATGAGTCACCACTGTCATGATCACTGTCATCAACATCCTGATCACGATCATCATCCAGCAACAGAAGGTAAGTAACAAAAAACCTTCAACACACAAGACTCGTTTCGCCAACGACACTGGCAACTTTAAATATTATAAATACATCACGTCTCAAATGCGGAATTTTAGGTTATTACTGGCGAGATTATACTGGCGAAATACCTGAAGACGCATTCCCCGGCGGACTCGATATAAACCAAAAACCAACTTACATTGGTCAAGCAGATTTAAAAGGCGTTGGCGTGATCCCGACAAGTCTTTACCCTGGTCAACTTAGTATGAAATTAGCCTGCGATTGGAAAGCCAACTATTCCAACAACGGCATGAAGGTACGTAGTTGCACCAAAACAAAGCATAGTTCCAAAAGTGTGGTTGCAGATACTTTGTACTTCAGACCCGAATTCCCTTTCTTGGGTGAGCACCACTGCTGCGGATCTACCTTTGATCACAGCTGGCAAAAAATTAGTCATTGGAGGTTTCCAACATACTGACACGCTCAACGTTGGACGAGTGATGCACGGAGGAGAACTAGTGGCTGGAAAAGTGGCCGGGGGTATGCCAGGAAACACCGGGCTGTACTATGTTGGTAGTGAAAAGGAAAATTGTGTTGCTTCGTATCAAATTTTAATTCAGAATTAATTAATTTTTATTTTATTGTTATATATTAAACGTCTAAAAAGCATTACGTAATATAAATAATTTTATATATACAAATTTGGTGATTTTAATAAGTGTCTCTGTGAACACATTCCGCCATTTTGTTTAGTCACAAGAATTCCCGTTTTGTATGACTATAAATTTTTCCACAGTCGCATTTCATCGAAAACTCAAAAGATCAATTTTTCAATATTCCCCCTTCTAAAAATTTCGACGTTTTTTCTATCACTTTTGAAAATTACCACATCTTTTGGTAGATTTTACGTCTAGAAGTTATTTTCTGTTTTATTCTTAGCATCGCCCAAAGAAATATGGCAATTTTTGGGATTTACAAAAAAATTTGAATTTCAAATCAGACATTTGTAAAAACTTGTTGCGGGGCCAAAAACAGGATATATCTTTTGAATCACCACTTTGAAATCTATACACGTGAATTGCTTCTGGATTTTTAGACAACTTTTTTACAAGCTCAAAGTTTCACAACTCTTTATAAAATTTTGAGTTTCTTCCGAGCACCCTCAAACAATTCGAAAGGAGATTCATTTCGAACTGTTGGGGTTATTTTCGGCTTAATTTTTTGAAAATTCATACGACTTTTCCAAAATAGTCAAAATGAGAAATGGAAATTTTAGGATTTTTCAAGGTTTTTATTTTGAGACTTGTCGTCGCATTGATTTGGCATTATTTTCTCTAAATCTATATTCCAGATTTTTTTTTGTGTATTATGATTTTACCATTCTTTAAGTGACCATTTTATTTTATGTTGTATCATTTTATACATATTCATTGTTCCATAGTTCTGGATCTCACTGCATATCTAGTTCACAAATTCTTGAGTAAAACATTGCATACTTTATTTAGAAACAAATCTAACATCATGTAAGTATGCAGAATTCGTCAATTAGTCTTTAATTAGGTACACTGTATTACAGTTTATTTTTGACCTGAGGACGGGTTACCTTTTGGATGATATTCAAACAGCTGTAAAAACAACTTAATCTAATTGCGAAAAATGTGTAGTTAATAGCGTATGAATGTAAAATATGTTATTGGTAATAAATGTAACTGTAGAATTTTTTTGTGTTTCTTGTTTGTAGTTTATTGTTCTTTCTTTCCGTGTCTCCTCGGGAAAATTGCATACAAAAGTGTGCATATTTCGAAGAAATTTTGTACAAATATGTGCGCATCATATTTTGACAAATATTTCTGCAAATAAATCCTCTTTTTAGTTATCATAAGTTATCCGTGAACACATTCCACTATTTTCTGTAGTACCAAGAATCCCCTATAGTATTTTTCACATTCGAACTATTAGTGCAATTATCTAGCAGAAAGCACTGATAATTTATCGTATTTGCCACGTAAAAATATTAAATATTGGTTTTTCAAGGAGAACTACGCCTGGGAATATTGCTTGCGAATGACGTAAAAACGCCAAAATGGCACTTTGTTGGTGGTGGTACAAAAATGTCTGTGGCTTCGTATAAAGCTTTAGTACTGAATGTTGTTAGTTACAAGTAACATGATTTTTTTTGTTAAAATATATTACACCTGATATGTACAATAAAGAACGTATTTGGGCCAGACTTAGGAATTATTATTTTCGCTGATAAATTATTTTTAAAACGCGTCATCGGTAAATCACAAATACAAAGATAAGCTGGAAAGCAACAATCAGAATGGAATTTCACAACTAAAGTCGCTATAAATACGAGCAAATTTTATTTTTAACACAACATTTTCACAAACTCTAGCAGTGCGGCAAGATGAGTCACAACTGTCATGATCACTGTAATCAACATCATGATCACGATCATCATCCAGGAGCAAAAGGTAAGTAATAAAAATATATTATATTACATATATTAATTTATTATAAGTATACATACAACCTTAAACATACAAGACTCGTTTCGTTTAGGTTTAGTTTTAATTTTAGGTTATTACTGGCGAGATTATACCGGCGAAATACCTGAAGATGCATTCCCCGGTGGACTCGATATAAACCAAAAACCTACTTACATTGGTCAAGCATATTTAAAAGGCGTTGGCTTGATCCCGACAAGTCTTTACCCTGGTCAACCTAGTATGAAATTGGCCTGTGATTGGAAAGCCAATTATTCCAACATCGGCATGAAAGTACGTACTTGTACCAAAACAAAGCATAGTTTCAACAGTGTGGTTGCAGATACTTTGTAGTTCAAACCCCAATTCCCTTTCTTGGATGAACACCACTGCTGCGGATCTACCTCTGGCCACAATTGGCAAAAAATTAGTCATTGGAGGTTTCCAACATAATGACAAGCTCAACGTAGGACGAGTGATGCACGGGGGAGAAGTAGTGGCGGGAAAAGTGGCCGGGGGTATGCCAGGAAACACCGGACTGTACTATGTTGGTAGTGAGAAGGAAAATTGTGTTGCTTCGTATGAAATTTTAATTCAGAATTAATTAATTTGTATTTTATTGTTATATATTAAACCTCTAAAAATATTACATAGGGTAAAACAGGGACACATGACGCGGCGGGTTAGATGACGCACCGTTTAAATTTCGCGCCAGGTAACTTTAATATGTGAAACAATGCACTGCATATGATAGCGTGATTATTACTTCAACGGTGTTCACGTTAAATCAGCAATATTACAAGTGGTAAGTACTACATTAATTAATTTGTACTTTGTGCGCAGTCTGAAGTTTCACAGCATGTTTAATTCCACAACGATTTTGACACAAATATAACTGCTGAGTAAAATTCAAACTAGTCGATGAAAATAGGTTAGTTTCTAGTGTCTTTGTGAGTTAATTCAATGCAACTTTCTTTGCTGGTGCATTACTATGAACGTGCGTCGTCTATCCCATACATTTGGTAGAGACGCCGCACGCTGTTTGGGGATACATGACGCATATCAATTTAAAACTATAAATCAATTATAATCCTGTTTCATTTAATGTTTAGATCAAAATGCCTACAATGTACGGTCCCCGGAAAAGCAGTAGGGGCCAATGGTCAGAAGAACAGCTAAGAGCTGCTGTGGAAGCTGTTCGAAATCAAAACTGGTCAATTAGACAAGCCGCTAAAGACCATAATATTCCTGAAAAAACACTACGCACTCGGCTGAAAACCGGAAATTTGAAAAAAGGATCTTTGGGAGGTGCGTCCTTCTTGGGAGAAGAGGCAGAGAAGAAACTGGTAGCCCATATTCGAACTTTGCAATCAGCGGGATTTGCACCATCTAGAAAAACCCTTCGTCAACTTGCTTATAATTTGGCAAAGTCGATGGGACTACAAGGTCGTTTTAACAATACCAAAAAAATTGCCGGAAATGATTGGCTGAAATTATTTATGCGAAGAAATCCTACTCTAAGTATCCGACAATCAGAAGGCGTCTCCTTAGCTCGAGCTGAAGGTATGAACAAAGAAGAAGTGCAACAATACTTTCAGTTACTTACAAAGACACTCACTGATCATGACTTACTTAGTAAACCTTTATCCATATTTAATATGGATGAGACTGGATTACACCTCAATAATGAACCTGGAAAAGTAGTTGCAATTAAAGGTAGTAAAGTTGTTCAAAGTATTAAATCAACCGAAAGGGGAGAAACCATAACGCTAGTAGCATGTTGCAATGCGGAGGGTAATTTTTTACCACCTTATTGCATCTTCAAAGGAGTCAATAAGCAACTTGCCTGGGAAGAAGCCATGCCACCAGGGTCTGTAATAAAAATGCGAAGAGAATCCGCTTACATCAACGAAGAATTGTTTATGGATTGGCTTACAAATCATTTTATACCTCGAAAACCCCCAGGAAAATGTATTCTAATTTTAGATGGACATGGTTCGCACATGAATTCGTATGAAATGCTGGAGACAGCAGTTGAAAATGATGTAATTCTTTTGTGTTTACCTAGCCACACAACTCATTACCTTCAACCCCTAGACCGGTCCTTTTTTAAATCACTGAAGGCTTTTTTTAAAAATCAATGCGACGAATTTGTCAGAGCAAATCCACAAACAAAAATTCACCGTCGTCATTTTGGAATGCTCCTTAGCAGCGCTTGGGCTAATGCCGCTACGAGTAAAAATGGAACTTCAGGATTTGCTGCTACAGGAATATTTCCGTTGAAGCCTTCTGTTATTCCCGAATACGCGTTTTTAGTTGCTGATCCTACTCAGCGTGTACCTTCCGAAGATAATGAAAGATTGAGTGAGGCTCAAGTTTGCCCCGAAGAACCTGTTGTGACCAATCTTGCAGTTCCTGGAACGTCAAGCAGTTCTGATTGGACGCCTACAAAAATTTTGTGTGAAATTTCTCCTGTTCCAACCATTTCTGTTCCCACTAAACGTCCAAGAAGAAAACAGTCTGCCCAGAACTTGACGGAATTATCTTACATGGAAGAAAGAAAAGAAAAACGCCTGAAAAAAGAGGAATCTGTCAAAAAGAAAAAAGAAAAGCAACAGAAAATGAGTCAAAGTTCTAAAACTGTTAAAACAGTGAAAAAACGAATATTTTGTCAAGAAAGTTCTTCAGATGAGGCAGATGATTTTATTGTTAATGATACCACAGATGACGAAGACCTGGATGAAAATGAGTGTGTCGAATGTCTTGACAGATACGAAACGACGTCTTCGAATTCTGATTGGATACGTTGCAACAGATGTATGAGATGGCTGCATGAAACATGCAGCAATTACGAAAATACATGCATGAGATGTGGCTGCATGGAACAAAAGAAACAAAAATAGAATTCCTTTCACCTATCTAGAGACTATACCAAATATTTACAAATAAAAAATGTTATGTTGTTACAAGGCATCTCTCCCATAGCTGCTGCGTCAACTAACCCATATGGTGCGGGAGAGATGGCAAAAAACACTTTCTTTGTTTTTATTTTATTAAAGAAATATTTTATATTTTTTTACTTAATCGACATGTTATTCATAAAATATAAGCTTTTCTCTATAGCCAGACATAATTTTTAATCTGTTCCAGTACTAAATGCGAATGTTACAAATTATTTTCAAAACGTGCGTCATGTATCCCGGTTTTACCCTATTACTTAATATAAATCTATATAAATAAAAATGAATCGCCGAAATGTATGTACGCGCATAACTTCAGAATGACTGCACCAAATTGGATGATTCTTTTTTTTTATGTGTTCCTTATTGTCAGGACAAGGTTTGTATATAAGAAAGTTTGCAAAAAATGAGACAGCTAAAAAATCAAAAAATTCTAAAAATTTTGTATGGGAATTTCCAAAATTTAAACATTGTCGAATAAACGAATCATATGGAATCGGATAAATTAAAACTGAAGTCGTGCTTACCTTGTTTTCGTTCGTGTTCACAGCACTAACACAACATATTTTCCGTAATATGTATTAATAATAAACTAGAAATTCGCTAAAACGCTCCACTTTTACGCCAAAATGAAGCGACCGTCTTGCGGCCATCAAACAGAAATTAATACTGAACACAAAGGACCGCAAAACGTGACCTTTATACAGGTAGCTCACGTGACATTGACGTTATCGTACGTCACGATGAGACTGCAAAAATTATTTTTCATATTTTACCCGGGAAAATGCACATTTTCGGGGATAATTTAACATTGTTTAAACAAATTGATTTGCTTTTAATAATTTCGGCCTTGTAGGACAACGAGTTTCGGTTTAATTATTATATATATTTATGCTTATTATCATATTTAAACATTATAAGTGATATTAATTATGTTTAAAATTCATTAATTTATATCGTGAAAATGTATAGTTTTGATCAACCGACTTCAACCGTTTCGAAAATTTTCCCAAAATTTAAACATTGTCGAGTGAATAAATCAGGGAATACATAAATTAAAACTGAAGTCGTACTTACCCTGTTATCGGTTCTTTTCGGAAAAATATCCATTTTCGTTCGTGTTCACAGTACTAATACAACACATTTTCTCTAATATTTATTAATAATAAATTAGAAATTCGTGAAAATAGTCCTAGTTTTAAGCCAAAACGGACTCTGATGTTGCTGCCACCAAACCGAAATCAAAACTAAACACAGAGGACGGAAAAATAGACCTTTTATCAGGTAGCTCACGTGACAGTGATGTCATCGTACGTCACGATGAATTGCAAAAATTATTTTTCATATTTTAGCTCAGAAATTGTACATTTTCGGGGTTAACTTAACAATGTTTAAACAAACTAATTTGTTTTTGCTAACCTCGTGTTTTTAGGAAAATAGTTTTCGGTTTAATTATCACATATTAATAGTTATCATATTTAAACATTATGAATTATAGTAATTATGTCATTTCTGCAACTCTTGAGTTATTCTCTAAAATAAATTGACTGATCCATACATTTTTTTGAGTCACTGTAAAAGCAAATCTAAAAAATATGAATGCAATGATAAATTACGAAAATATACTGATGATATTTTGCACATTTTAGATAGGATTTATTCGGCAAAATCTTGAGATGACGTCATGAAGTTTTTGGGCTTGATAAACAGATCTATTTATTTGATTAAAAACGTACCATGTCAAACAGTAACTTCAAAACGTCTGCAATATTTCAAAATTCAGTTTTGCAATTCTTGATTCAATCAATAAAATAAACTGACTCAGTGATTAATTTTTTCGAGACACTCCCTATAAGCAAAACTAAAGAATATGAATGGAATGAAAAATCACAAGTATAGTCTCATCCTACTTTGGATATTTTAAAAAGGATTCATTTGGCAAAATTTTGGGCTGACGTCATCAATTTTTTGGAGGAAGTAAATATTATTTTGAATAAAAATTTATTTTGCTTATCATACAGGCTGACTGCGAAATAAGTGCAAATATTTTAACCACGGCATCCCCCACCCTAGTAGAGCCGAAATATAGAAAAAAGAAATTAAAAATCGAATGGGGCAAAACCCCCATGAACCACCCTCGATACGAAGGCACTGAGCCACCTTGTAAACAGAGTTGGAAAAACGTTCGAATAAAAACGACCTAAACACTTTCAGTTTCAATTAAAAGTAAAACCGACTTTTTGCTGCTTATCATTCGTTCATTCATTTACTCATTCATCGTTAAAGGTCAGTGTGAAAGTTTTTTGGTAATTTTGATTCTGACGGATGTTTGGTCCTTGTCACAACGATTTTACGTTGTTTATTGGAACAGAAATAAGAGCAACTTAGAATGCTACTACCTTTTTACAAGAAATGTTGAAAATGTTGTCCTTGACTAGCAATACAGGCGTCAGAGCGTCGCAAGAGGTTTGTTGATAGGTAAAAAAACACCGGAGTAGCGGGTGTCACTTTCACTTGTTGAAGCTCTTCGATAATTTCTGGACACTGTTGATTTCCACAAACGAACTGTTTCATCCAACTGATACACATTTATCGAAAACCGTCTCTTGAAATCGTACTTGTTGACGACTACGTGGAGTTCCATCGGACAAAAAGTGAGTTACACAACGTGAACAATCAGTGGACTCCAAACCGTGCACTTTGTCAACATGGTATGGATGTGGCCGTATTCTTTTAATGTAGGATGCACTACAAGCTGTGAAAATCCAACTTCTTCTTTCTGTCCTATCACGGCCACGATCGTGAGTTTGAGGTTGAAGGTACCATGATCTCGGAGATGCTGTACCACTGATGCACCCATTACCATATCGACACAATCTGCATGGGAAAACTGCACCATAAACCGATTTCACCGACCGCTCGATGCTAACTGGCCCTTTTCGTGTTTTTCACGTTGCGATTAAAAAAGTGCCTGATAAAGTAACTTTTTTGGTTCTTTAACCGACTCGCTCTGTTCCATTCATTGTAGTAATTATGTAGGTCACAAAACAGTCCAGCGGCGCGTACAACAATTTACATTGAATTTCAAATAATTTTTTCTAGACACTGCTACTACTTAGGACCGTGAATTTTACCCAGTGACATAATCATATTGTGAGCTATTCCCCATTTTTTTTTTTGCATGTATTTCGCAGTCACCTTGTATGTTTAAAACATCTGCAAGATTTCAAATCATTCGGTTTTGCATATTCAAAATTAAATTGTAGGTGAAACGAAGTTCACGGGGTCAGCTAGTAATTTTATATAAACAAATTTGTTGATTTAATAAGTGCCTCTGTGAACACATTGCGCCATTTTGTTTTGTGCCAAGAATTCGAACTATTGGGAAACAATTCGTTTGCATATTAGCATAGTTTAATTATGTGGAGGTGGAGACTGTATAGAAAAAAAAGTAAGAGATGACATCAATGGCAAAAGTACTTTTAAATAAATTGATTTTAAAATGTATCATTGGGAAAAAAGGAAAAAACAGATGTAACAATACGTCCATATAAATTTTTTCTTTTGTGTTGGTGTCCATGTAAAAATTTTGTTCGTTTTAATTTAACTGAAGGCCGTTCCATCAAAAATAATATGTTACTATTTTTCGTACATTTGAAACCAATTTTTTTTATCCAGTTGGTTAACAATCTAGGACCAACGTTAAAATCGGGAATCTTTTCCATTACTCGATCGTGCAACAACTTAATAGTATACAATGTATTCTTTAGAAATACCCATTTTATAGATAATCTCCAGGATTCACTTTTATCTTTATGTGACCAATTCTAGAAGAGATATTTTTCTTGTATTCAAAGTCACTTAAACCTGGACTTTTTGTAGCCTGTAGACAAATCTTTCCGAAATTTTCAACAATTCTGCGGCCAGTTTTGTCTTCCTTTTTTTTTCCTAAATTCCAAAACAATCTTGGTTTCTAACAACATAGCCTAACACATTTAAAATTATTTGTTTTGCTTGGTCGTTAAATCGCTTCATTTTTGATTGGGACAAAGGACAGATTTCAAAATTTGACATAAAACTCTACGACTAACTCAAAATTTGTTGATTTTTGTCTCACACAAAGGGCATATATAGATGGAGAAAAACTTTGACTTGGGTTAATTCCACGACTTTAGTAGTTCATTCTTTTTCTTTTTAATCTAAATCACACGTATCTTATCTTCCCCGTATTTATTTTGATGCAATATTTTTATTTTACTGCTACATTTCCACAGATAATTCCAGACAGCGTGTTTCCCGAGATATTTTTGATGTTTCGTAATTAACTACTTCAGAAATTATTCACTAGGGTCTTGTCAATTCCCAAAAAATGGTTTCTAGTAACCGTTCATGATGTCTTTAGACAGAAGTCAGCAACGAATTTTTTTTATGTTGGATAATAGATAAAACGGTTTGTCTGACAGTGTGCGAGACTGACGTTCACTTGAGGCTGATTTGTCACATTTATTGTTATATTTTGCCTTTTTTTCTTAATATATGTATAGTATTCTTTGAACAACACGATACTCAAATAGTATATTAAAGAACGAGTTTCATAAGGCAAATATTGAGGCACGAATCCAAGTTTATAGAACGAGCGGCGAAGCCGCGAGTTATATAAAGGATGAGTGCCTCAATGGCCTTATGAACGAGTTATTTATACTATTTTTTCTACCGCACACGTTTTTTCCCAAAATTTAATTGAAATTTGCAATTTTTTTTAAACTGGGGACTTTTGTCGTGGTTGGTGATGGGTTGGTCTGACACTAACCACGAAATATTCGAGGTTCGAATTTTCACAACAACAATTGTAATTCGAATCAATTCGAGTTTTTGTAATTTAAAATTGGTTAAAATGTCTTGCGAAGAAGCTACGCGTCCGGAAACGTGGGAAATTTTAAGTTTAGATTTGCCACTGACATTCATCTGACATTTCTCGTCATTGCTACCAATCTTACCGATCTAAATTACACCAGATCTATTAAAGAACGCCTTTCTGCTATTAACGAACTGCTGTGACGTCATTTGCGTGCGTTAATAGCTCTATTAGAAAACCAAAAAACGTGGGCGGTAGAAAAAAATGTTTTTAATTTCTTATAAAGAAATAAGAATTTTGCAGTTAAGCTCCGCTCTTTTGATTCACAGCGAATACAAAAAATCATTAGAATCGAGATAGGGCGGGTGGGCGGGCTTACATTTTGCCTTTTGTTTTAATACGTGCAGACTTCTTTTCACAACATAAAACTACAAACATGTTAAAATGGAAAATTTGTTTAAGGAAATATCTATATTGCAACTAGCTGACCCGGCCACGCGTTGCTGTGGCTAAAGTTTTTGTTATATTACATTATAGTAAACAATCTAAGAGGAACAATAAGAGAACATCAGTCACGGAGTCCACTATGCTTTTTCACACAGATGGTATTTGTAAAAAAATATGGTGATCTCCTTATTTGACTTTCTACTACTATAACCCTTTAGTACAATGAAATTATTTACGAACAAAGACGAAAATGTTGATGTTGGTATACAAATTCACTGGATTGAGATTTGAAGGGGAAGTACGTTGAACACAATTAATTAAAATGTTCTTACACTTGATATTAAGCAGAAATCAATAGGTACAAAATAAAAATTTATCAGATTTATTATTTCCATTTAATTTTATAACAAATATAAGTATATTACAGTATAATACAGTAAATAACATGTGACGCTTAAACTCATGAATGAGGTAGGCAAGGCAGACAGTCTTAAAGTTTTAAACATTAATATCTATTTTTTTGAATTATAAATACTTTCAATTTCAATTTAATTTAACACCAATCGGTGCACAATGTTTTTGGTTAACCTGTCTTTAGCTAACACAAATAGATTCGACGGTTTCCCAACACGTGAACACGCAACATATAGTTGCCCATGAGAAAAACATGGATTTTCCAAATCTAAACCACAAATGGACATTGTTTGACCTTGAGATTTATTTATAGACATGGCGAAAGCTAAACGAATTGGAAACTGTAGCCTTTTGAAGGGTATGGTAGAATCTGATGGTATCATCGGAATACGTGGCAGCAGGACCACTTTTCCTTTAAACTTCCCAGCCAAAATGGTTGCTTCAAGAATGTTTCCGGTGATCTTTTTGATGACCAAACGCGTACCGTTACATAATTGAGGTGGATTCAAATTACGGAGGAGAATAATAGGGGAACCAATCTTTAATCGAAGATTATGTGGTGGCATTCCAGGGATATCTAATGAATTTAAAAATTCAATCGGAAAATTTACACTTTCATTTTCATCAACAACAGTATCGATCGATTTAAAAGACATCAGATCACCTGGTAACAACTGTTGTATCTGGAAGTTAATTTCGTCAACATCAACGTTTTTGGCTGCCAAAATCGCCCGTTGACTAAGCCATTCATGATTCAAATAATTATTCTGTATATCCGGGAAAATACTCTGAATCAATTCATTTTTATCCTGAACAACAGTGCAAAAATTGTCTGGTAGTTTAATGCATTGCGTATTTGGTTGCAGTTCTATTTTACCGTTCCCAATATCTAGTAGTTGTTCGGAAAATATTTGTGCTGATGGATCATTTTGCAATTGTACTCGCATATTTATGGTCAATCGAAGTGTTTCAACACTTCGCCATAAGAATGATTGTTTCAAACATGCATTAATCTCATCCGCGAAAGTAGAGCGAGGTATAACCGGTAAGGTCTGCCGGAAGTCACCAGACAAAAGTAAGATAGCACCACCGAAAAGTTTATTATTGCTGTTTAAATCTTGCATAGTTCTGTTTAATGCTTCAAGTGAATATTTGTGTGCCATTGTGCACTCATCCCAAATTATTATAGAACTCTTCCGCAACACTGCAGCTATTCCACTATTCTTTTTGATGTTACACATTGCATCTGGTTTATTATGAACGTCCAATGGCAGCTTGAATGTTGAATGTGCTGTTCGCCCACCATCCAGTAAAGTAGCCGCAATGCCTGACGATGCTACTGCTAATGCGATTTTTTGTTGCGACCGTATTTTGGCAAGAATCAACGATATTAAAAATGTCTTACCGGTTCCACCGGGTGCATCCAAGAAAAAAAAACCGCCTTGTTCAGCAGCAACAGCCAGCATAATCCGATCATAAATAATTTTTTGTTCTGCTGTCAGTAATGGTTCACTGTTCATGATAATTGTTGCTAAACTTCCATGGTCATATTGATTTTCTCGTTGTAAATCGGTATTGACTAAGTCGGTGGCTGGACGATTAGGTGATGGCATAGCATAATGATTAAGTGGTAAATTTGAAATAAGAACACATAAATCCTCGATCAAGACCAATGCTTCATTGTACATCTCTGGTGTATAATCTATGTTTTGGCATTGATTTGTTTGTCTAATTCGGTGCAAGATGTCTTCTGTCATACAATTTTTATATTTTTCCCACAAAGTTTGTGCTTGCGAGGGATAACACGTCGTCAAAATAATTGCAAACAACTGACGAATGTTATTCGGTGTTGATGTCAACGCAGCATCAGCAAGCGTTAAGTCCCAATGGTTATCGTCTTCTAGCAATTGCAGTTCACGACATGCATCCTGGTATGTATTGAATACTCGACCATTAACTGTTCGTAAAAATTCAAAAGACGTTGGTCCGGGAACATTCACCAATAACAAACGTAAATAGAAGCACTCACGTTGCTTTGGATGTACCGTGTAAAGTCTCCCCAATGTCTTAGCTTTGAATATGCCTGTAATGGAAGGATGTGGTTTTCCTTGTTTCCGTGGCTCCCATTTTTTACTGGATTTGTTCCATGTGAAATAACGTGGAACATCACCAAACACCAATGTCTTCGCGAATTGGCCAAAAACATCAGGTTTTTGACACAATGTAAAAAATTCAGTTAGAGTCGTTTTCGGAGCTTCGAACGCTCTTTGGAGAACATTTTCTTCAGTGAAGTATACACGTTGACCGTTTTCAAGATGTATTGCCAGATGTTGGACAGCAGGATCTCTTTCGTGGATGGGAAAGCTGAGAATATGCCAAATAGCTTCATTGCTGCTAATGTACCTGCCCATTTGGTATCGTGCTATTTCGTCATTTTTATTTATGTTTTGTACTTCAAATATGGCCAAATCACTGCCTTTGTTTACATATTTACAAATATACTTAATTGATTTAACAGAACTGCAAAGCTCAACATTGATATGAGCTTTGTAAGTTTTTGAAAGTAGTGGTGAGTATGGTACCACCCACTGATTATCAAACTCAACTTGATTTGGAAAGTTCGGCAGTCGCATTGTAAATGTGTGGCCACCATTCTCAGTACTTCTGCGGCGATACATTGGATAACCATCAATATCCGTGATCGTGTCATTCGTATGCGGCTTTGGGAATTTTTTTTTACATTTTCCATTTTCCATGCACGGTGACGTCATGTTGAAAGCACCGCATGGCCCATGGATCATGTGTTTGGTTACAATATCAAATAATTCTTGATCAATTAATGGGTCTGGAATTTCGGCTGAAATTATTTGATCGATTTCTTCAGGACGGATTCTATCTTTAAGCCAAACCAAAATGTGGGCATGAGGCAAACCTCGCTTTTGCCACCCTATCGTATACAGCCAACAACGTGTGATACCAAAAATTGAATATTTAACAATAAAATCAATTAAGGATTTCAATTTTTGTTTAAACACACGTGCAGTTAAATCATGACGATGAATGGCTTGTTGTCCTGGCAATAGTAAAGTTTGTATCTCTTCCCAATTCGGATTACATGTGAATGTTATAAATAAATCCGGTCGGCCGTAATGACGTACGTAAGTCATCGCATCTTGTATGTATTCCTGCATGTTCCGTGGACTGCCGATGTAGCTTGAAGGTAAAATGAAAGCATTACCGATGTCATTGGGATTTAAATTTCCATCGATGTTTCCAGCAACAGCATCTCGTAAGTGAATATATTCTTCCGATCGTAGTTTTGCCTGGTTGAATCGAAGGAATCGCAAGCGTTCGCTTTCGACCTTAGCATACATATCAACAATGTATTGATGGAACAGCTGACGATATCGAAGGATATAATTGTCTTGATGTTGCCTAACCATTATTCGGTGTGCGTAGTAGTTCATTGAGCTAACTTTATTATTTCTGTAATCACCTAAAAAAATAAAAAATAAAATGCAATACGAAATTAAAATCTATACATTCAGTAAGAAAGTAAATAGATAATTGTCAAATTTACCGGTATTTGGATCATACTGTTTGATATTAAGGTGATATTCATCTTGTCCTTGCCAAAATATCAATGGATATTGTAGTGCGTCATATGAACGGTGTAGATCCGAAATCGTACTGACAGTGTTGTCTCGCCGTGTAATTTTTATAGATCTCTTGTCAACTGGATCACCAACCATGATAACAGCAACCTCATCAACAGTTGGAGCGTTGAATCTACCAGCATGTTCACCTAATGGTACTTTGTCGGCTTTTATGACGATTTGATAATTGTCATTTTGCAGTCGTGGCGAAACTCTTTTGATCAATTGAATTAGTTGATTGTGATCTTCTAAAAAATTTTCCAATAATATCACAATTGCTCTTTCCTCTGCTTGTTCAATAAAATTATACAGGCACCGAGTCGTCACGCGCTCTTCACAATCGCCCATAAAATAAATTTGAAGAAATTTCGGATTGTTATCAGGCATTGGCATCAGTGATCCGATTTTATGGTAGACCTGGCCTTGAATTTTGAATGTAGTTTCAAAATTACGTCCATCGGATGCACGATCGCAAATTTTAGTTGCCCCAAATGACGTCATTTGGAAGCAAGAATTAAATTTGCGTATCTTACGCAAAAATAATTTGGAATCATCTGAATTGCCAGTAAGAAGGGATAATAAAGGCTCCGGCGGAGCGGGTAGAGGTGACAGCACAACTTTTCCTGATGCGCAGCACATGCCGGCTGCTTCATTCCGAAATTTCAATGCCTGACAATATTGACATACTTTATCCATTCCACCGATAGCAATTTTTGAATGCGCTGAGTAGTTAATATCTGGTGCATATTCAAAGGCAAGCCGAACGAATGATGCACGTGTTAATGAGCGGCTGATCCGTTGCCTTTGTCGATCTAGTACTCGTACTGTAGCTATGTTTCGTTCTCGTGCCGCTCTTGTTCTCGTAATATTCTGTTGCCGACGTTCGTCACGCTGTTCTTGAGATTCTTGTGCACGACTTTCTGCAATCCTGATTCTTTCAGCTGCATTTCTTGTTTCGATTTGTTCTGGTAATTGCTGAGCTCTTTCAACACGTTTGCGTCGTGCCCCTTTGCTGCTCGCGTTGTTGAGGTTAGATTTTTTCGGTGGCATTTGACTGACAATAATAATTTAATCGTTTAAATATTAGAAACCCAGTCGAAAGGTATCGACATCTGTTAGAATCATTTGGAGTTAACAGATAATTGTGACTGTCAAATAATAGCAGACAAATAATTAGCAATAAATCAAAATTGCGACTATAATTTGAGATTTAAACTATCCTATAACTCAAGTTGGATCGAACTGCACATGGTGTGCGAATTTTATTATAATCGGTTAAGTGGTTTAGCAGTCCATTGAGGACCAACATTGTGACACGAGATTTATATATATTAAGATTAGGCTACGCCCCATATTTGTAAAATCCATATTTCCTTCCAGAAAAGTGCTATTTTAACCATGTTTTAAGTTTCTTGTTGCGAAAAGATGGCTATATTATTAAGAAAAAAAAAGGGAAAAATATAAGCCCCGCCCACCCGCCCTATCCCAATTCTGATGATTTTTTTATTCGGCGTGAGCGAAGGGGCCGGAGTTTAATTGCAAAATCCTTATTTTTTCCATATGTAAAATAAAAAACATGTTTTTGAGTATTGTGTTGTTCAGAGAATACTATGAATATTAAGAAAAAAACAAGCCAAAAATTAAGCCCCACCCAAATCCTTCCTAAGCTTAATTGTGAATTTTTCATTCGTTGTCAAACCGAGGGGCGGGGCCAAATTGCAAAACTGATACTTTCCTACAAAAACTTACCATTTTAAACATGTTTTACCTGTCTTGTTGTGAAAAGAAGACTACAGATATTAAGAAAAAAGGGCAAAATGCAAGTCCCTACAGTTATAATACCTAATCTGTTTTTGAGACGATATTAACATATATTTCTGAAAATAAATCCTCTTTTTACTTATCATAAGTGATCCGTGAACTCATTCCACCATTTTATTTCGTAACAAGAATCCCCTATAATTTTTTTCACATTCGAACTATTAGCACAATTATCTAATTACATAGTACTCATAAGTTATAGTGTTTGCAAGGTAAAAATATTAAATATTGGTTTTACAAGGTGTACTTAGTTTATTTTATGTGGATATGGGTGGATCTCATCATTTAAAACTGGACTATTTACAACTGCCATTTCTAGTTTTAAAATCTCAAAAAGACCTGAACAAACAAAGTGACAACAATGCAAATGTAATTCTAAAATATAAAGTATATTGCTGTCATGTTTTTGATTAATAATATTCAAAGAATCGTCGGCAGGCTTCTTTTGTCACCTTTGTTAGTTCAGTGTTACCTCATGGTCATAAATTGGTTTTAAAACATGTCATCCGTTAAAATACATATAAAGATGAGTTGGATAATAGCAATAAAAGGAATTTCACAAGTGAAGCCGGTATAAATAAGTGTGAAATTTCTCGTTTGAACCCAGTATTTTTACCAGCTCTAGAAGTACGCCAAGATGAATCCTCACAAATGTGATCATCACCACCACCATCCATCAGTACCAGAAGGTAAGTAATAAAATCAGTTTTGAAAATACCAGGAAATTGTCTTTAAATTTTTGAATTTATTTGTGTACGACATGTCCAAATATATAAAAAATTTTAGGTTGCTACTGGCGAGATTATACAGGTGAAATACCTAAGGATGCATTCCCGGGTGGACATGATTCAAACGGTCAAACCACCTATATTGGTCAAGCCTATTTAGCAGATGCGGGCGTTGTACCGGCAAATCTTTTCCGTGGTCAATCCGGGATGTACTTAGCCTGTAATAACAAAGCGAACTATTCTGATCTTGCCATGAAAGTATGCAGTTTTACCAAAATAAAATACAGTTTAAGCAGTGTGGTTGCAGATACTTTGTACTTCAAGGCCTGATTCTCTTGCTTGGGTAAACACCACTGCTGCAGATCTACATTTGGTTACAGCTGGGAAGGAACTAGTCATTGGGGGTTACCATCCTCGTGGTAACGCCAAGTTGCTGCTCAACATCGGACGAGTGAAGCACGGAGGAGAACTAATCGTTGGGAAAGTGCATGAGTGGAAAGGAAACTTTTCACTAAACTTCGTTGGCGATGACACGGAACTTTCTGCTAAATCGTATCAAGCTTTAGTAGTGAATTCCCCAAATGAATGTTGTCAGTTACAACATACGTACTAGTACATTATTTTTAAATTAATATATATCTTCTCCAAATATATTTTGTGTTTTTCCCGAGATATTTGATTATTACTTTAATACAGGACGTTGGTTAAATTAAATAAATATAAATGAAAGCTAGTTCAATTGTCGTTGTTGTTTCTTATCATCAGTGAGCGGATTTCTAGGTTTAATGCTTTTTGTGAAAAATGTAAGCACTTCAAAACTTTTTTATATCTGTAACTATGATACAATTTGGAGTCATTTGGCATTTTTTTTATGCTTAATTGCTTTTTTTTCAATTTTATGCATATTAAAACTTATATGCTTATTTAATGCTTTTTTCGACGAATATGAGTTTTAATGCATATTTTGTTCAAATGCCGGCCTGTCGGGATGACAAATACTTGTTAGTTAGGCGTAGCGTACCGTATGCATTTTACCTGGACTTGACCATTGAAGTACACTTACTCAAGACCCTTGCTGTGAATAGGTTCCGGTCGTTTGGGTAATAAAATTTTATTATAGGATTGGAAAAATACTCCATAGATTTTATGACTTTAAATCCTTACTTCCGTTGATAATGAATTAAAGCTTTTAACCAGATGTTCTTTTTCGGCATTTTGCGGCAAGACCGTTGAAGATTTTCTAGGAAAAAGGATTATTGTAACCAACTACCTACCTTAAAATTTTTCTAATGGAAACTTTTAAATGAACCGTTTATTTCACAACCATCAGTCTATCGCATCTGTCGTAGTACAGTGTTATACGTGGTTCTCCCTTGTTACATGTTGAGTTCTTTTTGGTAATATTACTAATATTTTAAAAGAATACCGAAAGTAAAATCGACGGCGGATGAGTGGATAAGGGATTTTCGAGAATTAAAATTAGAAAACAACAAAATATTCTGCAGAGCTTGTGTGAAAACCGTAAGCCCACTAATTTTTTTTTTTTTTATCTATTTTCCTTTGTTAATCCTGTATATGTACGTTGTTTTAGATTCAAAGTGATAAAAAATATAACGTGACGCAACATGTCAGAACGACTCTTCATGTAAAAAGGAAGAAAATGTTTGAAGTTTCTAAAATTAAACAGCAGACCATACATGAATCTGTTGCATCTACTTCCACAAAAGATGAGCAGTTTCAGTTTAATTTCGATTTATGTAAAATGATGATCCAGTCCAATATACCTTTAAAAAAATTGGAGAAAGGCCCTCTTCAAGAATTCCTTGAAAAACACTGCAATCGACATATTCCGGTTGAAAGTACTCTCCGAAACAATTATGTAGGCCCAGTGTTTCAGCAAGTTTACAACGAAATTAAACATCGCATTGGAGATAATTATTTATAATTCGCTGTCGATGAAACAACCAATAGTTGTGGAAGATACGTGGCAAGTTTAATTGTTGGAATCTTAAATGAAAATTTCCCTAGTCGAGGGGTATGTAGTAAGTTTGAAAATGTTAGATAAAACAAATGGCAATACGATTACCAGATTTGTAAATGACAGTCTTACGTCACTATTTTTGCCAAATGCCGTGCCGGCGAATAAAATTTTATTGATGATCTCGGATGCAGCTCGTTATATGTTGAAAGCAGGGAATAATCTAAAAATATTGTACCCCAATTTAATTCACTCTACTTGCATTACCCACGGTTTAAATAGAGTGGCTGAAGGAATACGTTTGCAGTTTCCTACTGTTAATAAATTAGTGGCAAATGGTAAAAAGATTTTTGTTAAAGCCCCACTAAGAGTGCAACATTTTAAGGAAAAATTTCCAAACATACCATTGCCCCCAGAGCCGATTATAACGAGGTGGGGAACATGGTTACAGGCTACATTTTATTATGACAAATATATCAAAGAATTTGAGGAAGTAGTTACGGAGTTTAGCGAAGATTCTTCTCATCGATTAAAGATTGCATAAATATTTTGGAAAACAAAGATTTGCGACAAGATCTAGCTTTTCTAAGAAGTAATTATCAATTCGTATGTGAGGTAATAGAAAAGTTAGAAAAATCCAACATGTTCTTGGTAGATGCCATAAACTTAGTGAAAGAATTTGAACAACAAGCAAACGCAGTAAGGGGTGATATTGGTACTAGAGTATCTCAAAAACTTGACGAAGTGTTAAATAAAAATGCAGGTTTCGGTGTTCTTTCCGACGTTGCTCGTGTTTTACAAGGCCAGAAGGTGGAAAATTTGGAGTTAGATCCAACATTAGTTGCAAAATTCAAATTTGCGCCAACAACGAGTGTGGATGTTGAATGCACATTCTCCAATTTTAAACACATTTTAAATGATCGGCGAAAAAATTTTACAGTGGACAACTTGGAACATATTACAATCATAAATTGTTTTAAAGAAAACTGAAATACGTGTTGCAAATATAAAGTCTAGGATTATTGTAATAATATTTTATCCAAAGTTCTAAGAAGTGTTCTTTGATTTGTAATATGATTATGTTTTAATGCTTTTTTGCTTAAAATAAAACTTTTTTAATGAAAGTGTTATGCTTATTTAATGCTTTTTTCTTAAAATAAAACTTTTTTATTGAAAATGTTGTGTTTATTTAAGCTGTTATTCTTAATTTTTTTGTGCTTATAAATCCGTTCTCTACTTATCATAGTGCCTCTATGAAGACATTCTGCCATGTTGCTTCATGACAGGAATCCCGTTCTTGTATGATTACAAAGTGTGTCACATTCAAACCATTAGTAATCACTTTTTTGCATATTAGCATAATTATGGAATCACAAAGTGTATAGTTGCAACTTAACGTATTTACATTGTGAAAATATTAAATACTGGTTTTATGACGTGTATGTTTTTTGTTAAAAGTTTTTAAAGGATCTCTCGTTGGGCGATTTCCTGTATCACCTAACTAGCCTATATTAGTTCAATGTTACTTAACGGCGATACATTGGTTTTTAAACCTGTCATGGGTAAAACATACACATAAAGATTAGTTGGGATTAGCAATAAACGGAATTTCACAAGTAAAGCCGCTAGAAGATCCAAATTTAATATTAGAACACAGTGTTTTTAGAAGTCCACCAGGATGAATACACACAAATGTCATCACTGTCATGATCACGATCGTCATCCAGTAGCAAAAGGTAAGTAACATATACATAAAGTCTTAAACACACAAGACTCGTTTTGCCAACGACACTGGCAACTTTGTTGTTATGTGGCAATTTTAGGTTATTACTGGCGAGATTATACCGGCGAAATACCTGAAGACGCATTCCCCGGTGGACTCGATATAAACCAAAAACCGACTTACATTGGTCAAGCATATTTAAAAGGCGTTGGCTTGATCCCGATAAGTCTTTATCCTGGTCAAGCTGGTATGAAATTAGCTTGTAATTGGAAAGCCAGAATTAATTAATTAAATAATTTTATATATACAAATTTGCTGATTTTAATAAATGCCTCTGTGAACACATTCCGCCATTTTGTGTCGTGCTAAAAATTCGAACTATCAGGAAACATTTCGTTTGCATATTAACATAGGTTAATTATGTGGACGTGGAGTATCTATAAAAAAAAAACTAAGAGATAACATCAATAGCAAAAGTGCGTTTACATAAATTGATTTTAAAATGTGTCATTGGGAAAAAACAAATATAGGTACAGATAAGTCGGAAAGAAGGATTATTTGAAATTTGATAAGTGAAGCGGTTATAAATGAGAGCAAAATTTATCATCTGAGCACAGTATTTTTTACCAGCTATAGAATCACGACAAAATGAATCCACACAAATGTGATCATCACCATCATGATCCAGCACCAGCAGGTAAGTAATAAAAAAATTAATTTTAAAAACACTAACAAACCTTCTTTTAACTAATGTAAATATTAACGAGATCAATATAGATTGTGAAACTCTAACACAATTGTTAGCAACCTTGTGCCCCGAATATCTACTTATAAGATTTTTAGGTTATTATTGGCGGGATTATAGCGGCGAAGTACCTAAAGACGCATATCCGGCTGGACATGATTTAAACAACAAACCCACCTACATCGGTCAAGCATATTTATCAGGGGTTGGTATTATACCGACAACTGTTTACCCCGGTCAAACCGGTATGAACTTACCCTGTAACTGGAAAGCCAATTACTCTACCATCGGCATGAAAGTAGGTAATTTTGCCAAAATAAAATTAAGTTTCAGTGGTGTGTTTGCAGATACTTTGTACTTCAAACCCGAATTCTCTTTCTTGGGAAAACGCCAATGCTTCGGATCTACATCTGACCACAATTGGCAAACAATTAGTCGTTGGAGGTTATGAAATTGAAAAAATGCTCAACGTTGGACGAGTGATGCATCAAGGGGAATTAATCGCGGGAAAAGTGCTTGTGTATAACATAGGAAGCGCCCAACTTCACTATATTGGTGGTGGCACAGAAGTTGCTGTTAGTTCATATCAAGTTTTAACACAAAGTTCTCCAAATAAATGTTGTTAGTTCATACATTAGTATTCGTACATTTTTTTTATTAATTTGAAATTAATCACCAAGGTCTTGTCAACCCCAAAACAGTTCTTGTAATGAATAATACATGAGGAGTTCTACAAATTGTATATCTCGAAACAGGCTAATAACTCAAGATTATACCTATACACATATGTATATTATCCGTTCACGATTTTTATTTAGTAGTGTTGGCCATGAAAATCTAGTGAGTTTGTTGGTATTCGATGCACAGGAATAAAAATTCCCTGAACTTTTTTCGTTAGGTTATGTTTTATTAAATTAAAGGTTAAAAAATGTGCCAGAAATTAAAACATTGTTGCCGATACTTTCAGTTTTCAGTAGCAATGACCAAGTTAACGGTATCCATTTCTTAGAAAGCATAAAACTTTACGCTATTTAAAACAGTTATTCGGCTTTTTGTAAGTGTTTATTTCATATGTAAGGAACAAACACTAAAATTTCACTTAAACATTGTTTTTATATGAATGGGGGTTCTACATACGACTATTGCCGCATGCCACATTTAGCATCTCGTCTTTAATTCTCAATCATCAGTTCGTTTTGCTCGCCCACTCTTCTTAGAAATGGAAATTTCGACCTTGTGAACAGCCTATTTCCATATCTTCCAACTTCTTTTTTCACTTTTTTAAGATTACTAAAAGGGTTGGTAAACGACAACAACCTTGTTCTAGTGCTTTGATGGGTTTAGCTCTTCTGAAATATTTTTCCGGCCTTAAATTGAATGATTTAAGTATATAGCTATTACTAATGCTTTAATACATTGTAAATATGATAACTTGCAAGTGTCTAGTGATTAACTGATTAGATAAGTAAGTTAAGAATAATAATAGTCGAAACTGGTCGAAAAAGATCAACATTTTTAAACGGGGAACAATTAAAAAGACATCATTTGAAAAGTTGTTTAAAAACCGGCAAAAAATCTGGGATATATAGATGCGAAAAATTTGGCGTATTGATGGTCCCGGACTAACATTACAGGTGAAGGTTGAAAGTCCCGGAGTAATCGTCAAATTTTTTTAAAAGGATTTATTTAGCATTGTTCCGGAAAAACACGGTTTTCGCCGGAATCATAGATCTAGTAGAAAAATTTTGAAATATCCTAGATAAGAGTTTTCGAAGAGTTGAAGCCCAAAATACCGTGAAAAATTCAAACTTAATACTTAAAAGAATCGTTTTACATACATTTTCTTGTAGATTTCGGGCCGCAGAAGTCATATCCGCTATCATTTCTTCGATAACTCCAATGGTTTTTCCAGAATCGTCCTTTGAAATATTCAAAAATATTTGTCGTAATTTTTGAAGATTCTCGTGAGTAGAGTTCCTTGGCACAATATGTAGTTTTTAAGAGTATAGACACGACTGACAGCGTTGTCAAGTTAGAAAGAAACACAGATATGGTATTCCTTTGCTCGCCTTGAGAAGAATATATTATCCGTTCACGTTCTTTATATAGTAGGGTTGGCCATGAAAATCTAGTGAGTTTGTTGGCATTCGATGCACAAGAATAAAAATTCCCTGAACTTTTTTCGTTAGGTTATGTTTTATTAAATTAAAGGTTAAAAAATATGCAAGAAATATAAACATTGTTGCCGATACTTTCAGTTTTCAGTAGCAATGAACAAGTTAACGGTATCCATTTCTTAGAAAGCATAAAACTTTACGCTATTTGAAACAGTTATTCGGCTTTTTGTAAGTGTTTATTTCATATGTAAGGAACAAACACTAAAATTTCACTTAAACATTGTTTTTATATGAATGGGGGTTCTGCATACGACTATTGTCGCATGCCACATTTAGCATCTCGTCTTTAATACACAATCATCAGTTCGTTCTGCTCGCCCACTCTTCTTAGACATGGAAATTTCGACCTTTGTGAACAGACTATTTCCATATCTTCCAAATTCTTTTTTCACTTTTCTAATATTACTAAAAGGGTTGGTAAAAGACAACAAACTTACTCTAGTGCTTTGATGGGTTTAGCTCTTCTGAAATATTTTTCCGGCCTTAAATTGAATGATTTATCTATATAGCTGTCACTAATACTTACGTAAGTGCTGTTTATTTAAGTACTTTCAAACGCTTATTAATAAGAACGTTACTATACGCCTTCTCCAGGTCCATGAAAAGTTAAAAAAAATGAAAATGCTTAAAATTTGGTGCAAAGTAACAATGAGGATGATCCAACTAAAATTATACTTATTTTGTTGTACGTCAGGTAGTTTTTCACATACTACCTTGGTAAATTTAGAACGAAAGATTCGTAAAAATATCACCCCCCGACAAGCTACAATTCACTCCATTTCCATTATTTCGCTATTAAAATCTGTATCATCACCGTCATTTTCAAATTCTGGATCAGATTCACCTAGCGAAATAATGAAAGGAGGTATAGATTCGTACGAAAGATTTCCCATATTTTTTTCCCAATCTGCCAAAACGAGTTTTTCACAATGTTTACAAAAATTTTGCCACATACTTGGAGTACATTTAGAAAGCGCCTCAAGCCATAAATTCTCCACCCTATTTTTTAATGAAGGTTGAGAATTTATATGCTTCTTGTAATAGTTCTTAAAAAATCCCCACGCCATTTCAATTGGATTATATTGACAATGGTACGGAGGTAATCTAAGAACTTCATGGCCACTTTCTCTTAATGTCTCGTCTACCAAGTATCTTTTTTTCTATTGTTTCTGAAGGGTTTAATTAAATCCCATAACTGTCTCTTCGAAAATTTTTTGTCAAATTCAACACTATGTTTAAAGAGCCATTCCTGCATTTCACATTTTTTACTAGAAAAAGTAGGTGGTTTATCCAACTGAACCGATGATACGGTGCATTGTCTAAAACCACCACACATTTTTGGTTCAACTTTGCCAAAGCAGGAATGAGCTGATTAACCACCCAATTTTGAAAAATTGTCCCGTCCATCGTTTTATGATAGTCTCTATCGTTATTTTTTTTAATTTAAAAAATTGTTACAACCATCCAAGAACCCCGTTGAACAACCCGCGTGGAGAATAGTAAACCTTGATCTTTCACTTTTAATTTTGGTGGGATTGCTTTTTAGATCAGTATCGTGCACCCAGCGACGAATGGACGAACCATTTTGATAGATCCATGTTTCATCCAAATACACGAAAGTCAAATTTTCACAAGAATTTAGAAACTGTAAATATGTTCTCAAAAAAGTAATTTTAGCTGCAACGACATGTTTTTGTTCACATAGAATTTTGCGACCATTTACTTCCCTGTGTTTATAAACCCATTGACTTAAGAATTTTGTATAATGTGGTTCGCCCCCTTTTAAATTCCAACTGTTCCCTAGAATATGCTAAAAGAGTATCTACAGTGAAATATTCGTTTTTTTCATTAAGTTGCCAAATTTGTCGTTGCAGATCTTTCCGAAACATACAATTTGTAAATAAATCCGTTGGTTTTCGCTTGCCAGATCGTGATGTTTTTAAATTTTGGTCCCCTGTTGATAAAATTTTCGCCACAGTTGATGTTCCCACCTATGAGAAAAAAAATTAAAACATATTTTACAGCGTATTTTTACATTACAGAAAATATGTTCGAGACCCTCATAGTAACTTCTTCGAAAGAAAGATAGGGCCTGTCTTTTCGAAACTGCAAAAAACATCTTTTTATTGCAATTTTTTGTTGCAGTAAAACTATTTTAGGCATTTTCTTTTTAAATAATGTCGCAAAGATCTGTGAATCTGTCACAATGACAAATTATCAATGCTGACAGACAAAAAACTAAATCATCAAATCAGTTTATCCAACTTCAAGAAAAAATATCAAAGCCTACTTTACTATATAATTTTTTTGGTAAATTTTCACCGCCTGCTCCAAATATATTTTTCAATGTGCAGACGTTATTCCTGTATTGTTCTTGGTATAATTATTCCAAGTATCTGTCGTAAGAGATATTTTATTACCTGCCTAGCCCGTATTAGTTGAATCGTTGTCGGTAAATCACAAATACAAAGATAAGTTGAAAAACAGCAATAAAAACGAAATTACACAAGTAAAGCCGCTATAAATACGAGCAAAGTTTATTATTTAACACACTATTTTCACGAGCTATAGAAATACGGCAAGATGAATCCTCAGAAATGTCACCATCACTGTCATCAATGTCACTATCATTGTCATCAATGTCATCATCATGATCATCATCCAGTACCAAAAGGTAAATAACAAAAAAAAATATTTTTTCTTTGTACGTTAAATATACAAGATGTGATAGTTCTAGGTCACTACTGGCGAGATTATACTGGCGAAATACCTGAAGACGCTTTCCCGGGTGGACATGATTCAAACAATAAACCCATCTACATTGGTCAAGCATTCTTAAAAGGTGGTGAAATGATACCGACAAGTATTTATCCTGGTCAAGCTGGTATGAAATTACCCTGTAACTGGAAAGCGAATTATTCTGACATCGGCATGAAAGTACGTAGTGTAGCCAAAATAAAATAAAGTTTAAACGATGTGGTTCCAGATACTTTGTAGTTCAAACCCGGATTCTCTTTCTTGGGAAAATGTTACTGCTTCGAATCTACATTCGACTACAGCTGGCAAACAATTAGTCGTTGGGGGATTCCAAGATAAGAACAAGTTCATCGTTGGACGAGTAAAGCACGAAAAAGAACTACTCGTGGGGAAAGTGCTGGGGTACACCAATGGAAGCGCCAAACTACACTTTGTTGGTGACGACAAGGAAATTTCTGTTGAATCATACCAAGTTTTAATACAAAGTTCCACAAATAATTGTTAGGTACTACATTGGTACCAGTACATTAATTTTGTGTATTACATGTATGGTTACCGAGAACTGTCGTTTTGGATTTTGGAAAATTTTATTTTTTATCTTGAACCCTACAATTTAAAAAATATAGATAATGGCATTCACGTGATTGATGAATCTAAAACGCGTCGCTCGTAACAAATAAGTACTTACATATCAAGATTAGTTGGAAACTAGTATTAACTGATAGAATTTGTTATTGTTGTTAGTTAGTACACTCATACTAGTACTTTTTTTTAATTCATATAAATCTTCTACAAATATATTTTGTGTTTTTTCCCTAGATATTAGATTATAATATTTGAAGACAGGACGTTGGTTAATTAAATAAATATAAATGAAGGCTAGTATAGGCCTACTGACAATGCTGGAAGAATTTGCGGTCAAATTGAACAAACTATTTTTAAGTTTGTAAATTAAAACTACATAATTACATATATATATTTTAACTCGAATGAAAAACTCCCAAATTTGCTGCTTTTAACTGTCGTTATTGTTTATCACTATAAGTGCTTCTATGAACACATTCCGCCATTTTGTTTCGTGTCAGGAATCTCCTTGTACAACTATAAACTTTTTCACGTTCGAACCACTTTGTTGAACTTATCGTATTTACAATGTGCAAATATTAAATATTGGTTTTACGACGTGTAGCTTATTTTATGTGGAGATGACTGGATTACATCATTTACGAGTGAAATATAATTATTACATCTCCGGTTTTAACATCTAATAAAATAGAGGTACAGATATGAAAAATGAAATTAGTTCTTAAGTGAAAAGCTAGCCTATATTAGTTCAATGTTACTTCACGGCCATAAATTGGTTTTTAAACCTGTCATCGGTAAAACATACACATAAAGATTAGTTGGGATTAGCGATAAACGGAATTTCACAAGTGAAGCCGCTATAAGTAAGAGCCAAATTTATTATTTGAACATAGTGTTTTTACCCGCTCTAGAAGTACACCAGGATGAATCCACACAAATGTGATCATCACCATCATCACCCATCAGTACCAGAAGGTAAGTAATAAAAATTAGTTTTGAATATACCAGGAAACTGTCTTTAAACTTTTGAAATAATTAATTTTTTGATTGACTTTTCTGTTTGATTTGTATTCTATAAAAAATTTTAGGTTGCTACTGGCGAGATTATACGGGTGAAATACCTAAGGATGCATTCCCGGGTGGACATGATTCAAACGGTCAACCCACCTATATTGGTCAAGCCTATTTAACAAATGCGGGCGTCGTACCGGCAAATCTTTACCGTGGTCAATCCGGGATGTACGTAGCCTGTAATAACAAAGCGAACTATTCTGATATTGCCATGAAAGTACGCAGTGGTTGCAGATACTTTGTACTTCAAGGCCTGATTCTCTTGCTTGGGTAAACACCACTGCTGCAGATCTACATTTGGTTACAGCTGGGAAGGAACTAGTCATTGGGGGTTACCATCCTCGTGGTAACGCCAAGTTGCTGCTCAACATCGGGCGAGTGAAGCACGGAGGAGAACTAATCGTTGGGAAAGTGCATGAGTGGCAAGGACACTTTTCACTAAACTTCGTTGGCGATGACACGGAACTTTCGGCTAAATCGTATCAAGCTTTAGTAGTGAATTCGAAAAATGAATGTTGTTAGTTACAACATTCGTACTAGTACATTATTTTTTAATTAATATATATCTTCTCCAAATATATTTTGTGTTTTTTCCCGAGATACTTGATTATTACTTTAATACAGGACGTTGGTTAAATTAAATAAATATAAGTGAAGGCTAGTTCAATTGTCGTTGTTGTTTCCTATCATAGTGCCTCGATGAACATATTCCGCCATGTTGTTTCATGACAGGAATCCCCTTCTTGTATGACTACAAAGTGTGTCACATTCAAACCGTTAGTAATCACTTTTTTGCATATTAGCATAATTATGTAATCACAAAATATATACTTGCAACTTAACGTATTTTTTCTAACTAATCAGATGATAATACATGAGTTCTACAAATTGTACACTTACCTTGAAGCAGGCGAATTTTTCGAGATTATATGACATGTGTGCAGTGAAGATTTGCATCCTTTGTTAAAAGCAACCAGTAATAAAAATCTATTAACATACACATTATTATCCATTCAGGATCTTTATATAGTAAAGTAGGCTTTGATATTTTTTCTTTAAGTTGGATGAACTGATTTGATGATTTTGTTTTTTGTCTGTCAGTAGTCTGATTGACATTTGCTTTGAGCTGGATTGCCACTTTTCTACCTCATTTATTAGATCAGAATTATTAGACTCAATTTTTTAATCAACCAAACAAATGTTTTAATTTTGTCAGGATAGATAATTTGTCATTGTGACAGATTCGCAGACCATTGCGACATTATTTAAAAAGAAAATGCCTACAATAGTTTTACTGCAACAAAAAATTGCAATGAAAAGATGTTTTTTGCAGTTTCGAAAAGACAGGCCCGATCTTTCTTTCGAAGAAGTAACTATGAGGGTCTCGAACATATTTTCTGTCATGTAAAAATACGTTGCAAAATATTTTTTAATTTTTTTTCTCATAGGTGGGAACATCAAGTGTGGCGAAAATTTTATCAACAGGGGACCAAAATTTAAAAACCTCACTATCCGGCAAGCGAAAACCGAAGGATTTATTTACAAATTTTATGTTTCGGAAAGACCTGCAACGACAAATTTGGCAACTTAATGAAAAAAACGAATATTTCACTGTAGATACTCTTTTAGCATATTCTAGGGAACAGTTAGAATTTAAAGGGGGGCGAACCACATTATACAAAATTCTTAAGTCAATGGGTTACAAACACAGGGAAGTAAATGGTCGCAAAATTCTATGTGAACAAAAACATGTCGTTGCAGTCTAAATTACTTTTTTGAGAACATATTTACAGTTTCTAAATTCTTGTGAAAATTTTACTTTCGTGTATTTGGATGAAACATGGATCTATCAAAATGGTTCGTCCATTCGTCGGTGGGTGCACGATACTGATCTAAAAAGCAATCCCACCAAAATTAAAAGTGAAGGGTCAAGGTTTACTATTCTCCACCCGGATTGTTCAACGGGGTTCTTGGATGGTTGTAACAATTTTTTAAATTCAAAAAAATAACGATAGAGACAATCATAAAACGATGGACGGGACAATTTTTCAAAATTGGGTGGTTAATCAGCTCATTTCTGCTTTGGCAAAGTTGAACCAAAAATGTGTGGTGGTTTTAGACAATGCACCGTATCATTCGGTTCAGTTGGATAAACCAGCCACTTTTTCTAGTAAAAAATGTGAAATGCAGGAATGGCTCTTTAAATATAGTTTTGAATTTGACAAAAAATTTTCGAAGAAACAGTTGTGGGATTTAATTAAACCTTTCAGAAACAATAGAAAAAAAAGATATTTGGTAGACGAGATATTAAGAGAAACTGGCCATGAAGTTCTTAGATTACCTCCGTACCATTGTCGATATAATCCAATTGAAATGGCGTGGAGATTTTATTAGAACTATTACAACAAGCATATAAATTCTCAACCTTCAGTAAAAAATATGGTGGAGAATTTATAGCTTGAGGCGCTTTCTAAATGTTCTCCAAGCATGTGGCAAAATTTTTGTAAACATTGTGAAAAACTTATTTAGGCAGATTGGGAAAAAAATATGGGAAATCTACGAATCTATACCTCCTTTCATTATTTCGCTAGGTAAATCTGATTCAGAATCTGAATTTGAAAATGACGGTGATGATACAGATTTTCATAGCGACATAATCGAAATGGAGTGAATTGTAGCTTGTAGGGGGGTTATGTTTTTATGCATCTTTCGTTCTAAATTTACCAAGGTAGTATGTGAAAAACTACCTGACGTACAACAAAGTAAGTATAATTTTAGTTTGATCATCCACGTTGTTACTTTGCACCAAATTTTAAGCATTTTCATTTTTTTTTTGTAAATCTTCATGGACCTGGAGAAGGCGTATACTAACGTTCTTATTAATAAGCGTTTCGAAGTACTTAGTAAAAGCAAATAAAGAGCACTTACGTAAGCAATAATAATAGCTATATAGATAAATCATTCAATTTAAGGCCGGAAAAATGTTTCAGAATAGCTAAACCCATCAAAGCACTAGAGCAAGGTTGTTGTCAATCCCCAACCCTTTTAGTAATCTTAGAAAAGTGTAAAAAGAAGTTAGAAGATATGGAAATAGGCTGTTCACAAAGGTCGAAATTTCCATTTCTAAGAATCTCTGTTTCTTTCTAACTTGGCATCGCTCTCAGTCGTGTCCATACTCTTAAAAACGACATATTGTGCCAAGGCACTCTACTCCCGAGAATCTTGAAAAATTACGACAAATATTTTTGAATATTTCAAAGGACGATTCTGGAAAAACCATTGGAGTTATCGAAGAAATGAAAGCGGATATGACTTCTGCGGCCCGAAATTTTCAAGAAAATGTATTTTGGTGAAATTTAGAAATTTTTGTTGAAAATTTGTCGAAAATTGGGCGTATTTTGCATATTTTTGAATATTTCAAAGAACTATTCTGGAAAAACCATTGGAGTTATCGAAGAAATGGAAGCGGATATGACTTCTGCGGACCGAAATATACAAGAAAATGTATTTAGGTTAAATTTCGAAATTTTTGTTGAAAACTGGTCGAAAATTGCGCGTATTTTGCATATTTTTGAACATTTCAAAAGACGATTCTGGAAAAACCATTGGAGTTATCGAAGAAATGAAAGCGGATATGACTTCTGCGGACCGAAATCAACAAGAAAGTGTATTTAGTGAAATTTCGAAAATGTTGTTAAAAATTGGTCGAAAATTGGGCGTATTTTGCATATTTTTGAATATTTCAAAGGACGAATCTGGAAAAACCATTGGAGTTATCGAAAAAATGAAAGCGGATATGACTTCTGCGGCCCGAAATCAACACTTAGTCGAGAGCTCGTAAAGTGTGGACGCGTTGCAAGTTACTCGATTAAAAATGAAATGCAAAAAGTGTAAAGCCAGTTTAAT